CCCCCCCCCACACACACACATTGATGTGTGCATTCCACTGCCAGCCTCACTCACTCACTCACTCACTCACTCACTCACCTGAGGGTGGTGAACAGGTATGGCCTCATCGACGATCTCCACGCCAATGAGCGTGATGTCACGCGCGTGCAGCCACTCGACCGCAGCCTCAAGGGTGTTGAAGTAGCGGAACTGCAAGTGAGGGAGGGTGCCCTGCAGTGCAGCCAGTGCATGGGCGGGTCAAAACACGGTCGCCATAGGTGTCGTGTATCGAATGCCTGTGTACTCATCGCTCGATTCACCTGGTTGCCGAAAGTCTTGAGTTTCCTTTCGCCCACCACCAGCACCTCCGACACACCAAATGCTGACGCACTCCTGCACACGCAGGGACAGACAGATACACCATGTGCAGCAGCACCTTCCCTGACGACTGTTGTCACCTCAGCAGCGAGCCCCAGTTCGAGCGCTTGCCAATCTGACAACCACACACACAAAAAGGGATGCGACCGTTGTGTTATGGATGCTTGCTTGATTGAGCCTCGTTTGGCCGTATCACATACCTACCTACATTGTGGAGCAGCAAGAAGGACTGATGCTGCGGCTGCGAGTCCTCGTCTGACGTAGGTGAGGGCTGATCTGCCTTCCTGACATCCGGGCTCTCAGATGCCATCACTAACGCATCAGCAGCATCGCTGGAGCCCTCTCCATTCATCAAATCTCTTCCTCTACCGTCGGATCGAACGCCTGGCGCGCACTGCAGATCTCTCTCGAGCCGCTCGGTCCCTGCCCCGCCATGCGTCCGTCTGTCGCCCTTGCCAAGCGGCTTGAGATCACAGCCATGGCTGCCTGCGCTCGAGCAGATCACTGCAGTGCCTTCACATCTCTCGCCTTTCCGTGCACCACGCACCGAAGCCGCATCGGCAACGCGGAAGAAGCGTAAGCACAGCACAGTGCACACACACACGCAGGCAGGCAGACACAAGCGTTGCTCTTTCTCTTCTGATTCATTCATCTCGTTGTTGTGTGTCGGTGTGTGCGTATGTCAGGGCACGAACAGACAGGCGTGGAAGGGCCTCATGCTATCACGGCCAGCTGCGGCCGCTGCACACGACCGCGCCCCTGCACCAGCTGCCGCCAAAGCGAGAGGACGACAAGGTCCACAAGATTACCTTCCAAGAATGGAAGAGCAAATACGTCGATGGCTTCGACCAGAAGCACCTCATGAGCGAGCGCTGGTGGAAGGACCTCTGGTGGGACGGCAAACAGGTCGTGTCTGACAAGGCGGGCCGCCCCATGGCGCGGGTCAACAGGGTCCTGGAGAGGCTTATCGAGCGGAAGGAGGGCTTTCTCAATGCGGCTGAGGCCAAGTGGGATGAGTGGAGGGAGGCCCACCGGAAGGCGCGGGAGGCCTCCAAGTACGGCACTCCCGGCAGCCACAGTTGGAACAGTCACCAGTCCGCCAAGGCGGCGGAAGAAGCCTTCTCGTCCGCCGACACCGATGGCAGGAAGGCCTCTGAGGATGAAGGCAAGGGCAAGGAGAAGGACAGCAGCTCCTCCCCGCCACCACCCAACTCATCTAGTGCCAGCGACGCGGCGACCGGCATGCAGCGGCACGACCGTTTCGACTGGGTCATCCCCACTCTCCTCCTCTGCGGCATCGGCATTTCCGCCGCCGGCCAGCCCGTCGTCGGCCTCGCTCTCATCGGCTGGTCCATCGTGCGCCGCGTCAACAACCAGCTGCAGTCGCCAGACGGCCGTGAGCGGCTGCCGTCATGGGTCAAGCGGGCGGCCATCTACTGGGAGGAGGAGAAAAGGGGCATGAGGCGCGTGCAGGACACATTTCGGACGCGGTCGTTCGGGCCTGGGATGCAGAGGGGGAGGAGGGGGATGGGCATGGGCGATATTGGGCGGACGGCTCTGACGCCGATATCGTGCTTCAACTTTTGTCTGGACAAGATGCGGGAGAACCCGACTGTGCAGGAGAGGGTGGGGAGGGACCTGCTAGGAAAGTTTCCGCCGGAACAGTGCGAGTCGGCAGTCGAGGGCGGGCAGACCGTGCTGAGGATGAAGTTCCTGAGGTCAGTCTGTCACACAAACACACACACACACACACACGCACAGACAGACAGAGAGAGAGAGAGAGGCGGACCGTGTGTAAGTCTTTTTTGTGTGGATGGTGGAATGGTGTGCACGTAGCAAGGGCGAGGTCGACGAGGCATCAGTGCTGGTCATGAGTGTGGGCGGGCGCGTGGAGGCCATCCACGTGTGCCCCACCAAGAGCCGCCACTTCAGCATGCGCGTGTGGGCCTCCCAGTACAGCGACATCCTCCACGTGGAGTGGTTCAACGACATGCAGGCCTGGTCGCAGAGGCAGGAAGCTCTACGCAAGCATTGGGAGGACAGTGGCGGCAGCGGTCCTAGTGGCAACGGCGATGGCGGGGGCGGTGAGGGGGGCAGGAGAGATACATGACTCCTCCAGATGAGCAGAGAGTGAGAGAGAGAGATAAGTGTGCTGTGAGGACAGAGGGAGTGGTCAATGAGACGTGGGCGTGATCTGTGTCGGATGTTGGATTTCCTGTGTATCTCAATCAACGTATGTTTGTGGATTCCCTGACGAGGCCTTTCAAAAAAAAAAAATTTTGTGTTGGTGCATCCAATCGTTGAGCTCATTCAGATGGCGCACTGATCGTTCGAGAGTCAGACAGCCAGGCATCAGAGAGAGTCCCCGAGAGTCCCCTCGCTGACTTGTCCCCCTCCCCTCCCCCCCCTCACGCACACACAATGACACAGCCACAGACGGGAGAGACGGCAAGGCAGCGAGGAGGCCCAATCGTCCCAATGTGCACATACCACACCACGGCCTCGATCACAGAGTAGGATGATGATGTCCATCTTACGTCTCTACCCCTCCCTCCCTCCCTCCCTCCCTCCCCTCTCTCAATGAGTGTCCCTAGTGTGTATGCCATGGGCGGAGTGGATGGATGTCAGGGACAGAATGCATACGAAGATAAGATGGGACAGACAAACGGACGGGCAGCTGCCTCCTGTCTGTCTGTCTGTCTGTCTGTCAATTATGTCATCCGATTTGCCTTAGCCTTACTGTAGGTAGCTCTTAGCCTGGCTCTTAGCCTTACTCGTTACGTCACTCAGTAGTGTGTTGTTAATTCTCCTCCACTGCCCCCTCACCACCGCAATCATTGTCGGCCTTATTGTTAGTGCCCTCACCCTCTCCCCCCGACTCAACCAAAGCCCCAACACCAGCAGACACAGACACAGACACCGCCCCTGCCTGTGTGTCGAGATTGTGTGTGGGATGTGCGCTGGCCATTGCAATGTCTCCTCCCCCAGCACCACCCTTACTGATGCTCATGCTCTCAAGCAGAAGCCGACCCCGCTGTCGCTGCTCTACCTGCAGCCCATCATCGAGGGGGCGGGGGCCGACAGCATGCTGCTGCTGCTGCTGCTGCTGTGATTGCTGCTGCTGCTGCTGCTGCTGCCCCTCGGCGTGGATGCGAATCGCGCGCTGGATGAGTTCGTGTCTGTCCCTCTGCAGCACGAGCCGCGCCCTGCCCTGGTGCAGGGACATCTGCAGGTGCAGCAGCCGGGTGGCCTCCTGGTGGATGGCGTGGGGGAGCTCACGAAGTATCTGGGGGTCCGACAGCTGGGGCAGGGTGTCGGGGAAACTGACACAGACACATACAAAGAGAGAGAGAGAGAGAGAGAGAATGGTGCGTGTGCCTGTGGGGGGAGTTGGCGGAGGGTAGGGAGTTACTTGGGGTTTGCGAGGGCCTTGGCGAGTGCGTTCACAGCTGCGTTCTTCCCACCGCCATACACACCACCACTTCATGTCAGCGCCGCGATGGAAAGGGAGCAGCCACAGCCACAGCCACATCACACAATCACACGTTTGTTGCTGTAGCATGTGTCTCACACACACACCCGCCCACCCACCCACCCACTCACTCACTTACCCTTGGTTATTGTCATTCTGCCTGTCGTGTGTCTGTTTCTGCAGCTGTTTGTACTTCTCCTGGAGCGCCATGTATGCCGTCCGCTGGCGCTGCACCTCGATCTCCAGGTTAGCCATCTCGCGCTGGTGGCTCTTCTGGAGCAGCTGCAGCAAACCGCCACAGCTGACAGACACACACAGACACAGAGAGAGGGACAGAGAGGGAGAGGGGGATGGGTGTGTGTGGGGGGGGTTGTGGGGTGTGGTGAAAGAGGTTTGGTGACTTGTGTCGGAGTCGGTCGATCTGTGCCTCAAGGCGGACGCAACGCTCGCGCTCAGTCACCATCCTGACACACACACACACCGACACGCACGTGTCTCTCCTCTCTCTCCCTCCCGCTCACCCACCCCCACACACACGTACCCCTCATCGAAGGTCGTTGACCCATCCCGCAGCATCGTCAGCCTGTTGCTGGTGTCCTCCCCGCCCTCCGCAGCACCGATGGTCAGCAGACGCTGCACCAACCCTCCCATGCGATCCCCCTCCCCCTCACCATCCGACGTGCCCTGCAGCAGACCCTCGGCCAAACGCGCCAACAAGGGAGACACCCCCGCACCAACACCACCCCCTGTGTCATCGGACTGGCTCGAGTGTGAGGGCGATCCGCCGAGCCCCCCCATGCTGAATGGCTGGGGGGGCGGGGCGGGGGGCTTCTGTGTGAGGGTGGAGAGGGAGAGGAGGGATTCCCCCCCCTTTGTGTGGATGGTGGGGCGGCTGATGTGCTGGTCGGGTGTGATGTGTAGGGGTGAAAATGAGGGCGGCTGGGGGAAGGGGGGGTGGGGCTGCGGTCCTGTGCCTGCGCCTCTGCCTGTGCCTGTGCCTGTGGATGTGCCGTTGGTGAGGGCGTTGGTGGTGGTTGGCCTGTTGTTGTTGCTGCTGCTGTGAGCGGCTTCCTTGCTGCCGATGGCACGGGTGAGTGTGACGCCCTCGATGTGCGGGATGGGCAGGTCGAGGTCCTGGGTGAACGGCAGCGTGAAGTACATCTGCGGGCGCTTCTCACCTGCACACACACACCGATGCACCCATCCATCCATCCATCCATCCATCAAACACACAGTGGGTGTGACCGGGTGGATGGGTGCATACCCTTCTGCAGTGCCAAGAAGTATGGGAGGATCGCCCAGCGTCCATCCACGGCAAAGGGACACACACAGCAGAGAGGAGAGGTGAGATGCCTTCACAGAAGGCCGTCTCGTCTGTGTGCTGTGCTGTGCTGTGCTGTGATATGGTATGATGTGAGCAGGTAGCTCGGTACCGCACCGCGTGAATGTAGGGGCAGTAGTAGGTGGGACACTTGTTGTGCAACAGAAACTGCTGACACTCATACCTTCACACACACCAACATTCACACACAGATGAAAGAAATGACAAGCGCGTCCACACCCCTCCCCCTCCCCTCCCCCTCCAGCGTACCTTTTATAGAATAGCGGGTGGAACACGATCTCCTCCCGTGAGTGTGCGAGCGGGCAGCGGCCGCCCCGGGGGCAGTTGTTCTGGATCACCTCATCGCCCTCCCCAAACACCACGTCCGGACATGCCGCAGGCACGTAGCGCAACGCACTGCTGTCCGTCAGGTACACAGGGCAACGGCGAACCTGCACACACACATGCACATCACAGCGGGGGAATGCGAAATGGATGGATGGATGGAGGGGAGATCTGGTTCTGTGTGTGGAGGGGTGTGTGGGGTGGGGGATGGCATTACATTACCCAGTAGTTGTTGTGCCCGTAGCAGCACCGCTCGTGGCCGAAGTCGCACCCCTCCGGCTGCTTGACGCGCCGGCACTTAAGCGTACCTGCACATCAATCCACCAAATCCAACCACCACATCCATCCATCCATCCATTCAAATGCATCCAAATGCGTCTTCCCCAGCCCCCCAGGGCATATGATGCGGTTTGTTGTGTCTCGCTTACGGAATTTGAGGAGATCGTCGTAGCTGAGAAGGTTGGTGTACGGTCCCATGGTGGTAGGTGGCGGAAGGTAACGACACGAGATACGATACGATGGTCAGGAGCCTATCTTCTGTGCTGTATGCCTTTAGATGGATGGAAAGGACGTAAGGATGGATGTGATGTGATGGATGGGTGGGCGCTGACCCACACCACACAACGCAACGCGTACGTAACACAGATCTCACTCAGACCCTCAGACCAACCAGCAGACGGCAGACAGAGAGAGGCGTGAGAAGGTAGGTTACGCACAGCAGGGGGGGTTGGTACACGGGTACGGACGAAGGGACGGACGGACAGCTGCCTAGAGGCGGTGAGAATGCCTATGACAGGCCAAAACCGGTACGAGCCTTTGAATGAACGGCGATCCAGCGGCCAGGATGAAGAGCACCGAAAACCTCGTGTTCAGATGGCCAAAAGGGCCGAAAAACGATGGAAGAGATCACTCAGTGCTCTTTAGGGAGGGAAAGTGCAAAAATGTCGCGGATTCGTAACCCTTCCGGGGAAGGCTGTAGAGAGTGGGGGCTGGCCCCCACCCTCGAGGGAAACAAAGGTGATATGCACTGGCAGTGGTCACGAATGCAGGCCTCCATTGGTGCCGTCCACAGGAACTTCTGATCTGACTCGCAGAGGCCCGGCGTCTCAGTGCGTCTCACCCCCCGTCCCTCCGCTCGCTCTTCCGCGCTTCGAGATGATGTACCGTCAGCCCATCGTCCCCCGCACAGCCGCAGTTGCCGTCACAACCTACCCTTTCCTCCCCGCATACCCGCACCAGCCCAACTCAGTCTGCTCACCCTACTCTCACAGCGCACACGGCCCTGTGCGCTATGTGAGTCGGTCGGGACGCTCTCTTGACCAGAGCGGCTCCACTGTTGATGAGCTGCCTCTGGGTCAGCAGCAGCAGCAGGAGCACCGGCTCTCTCTCAGCCACCGCAGTACGCTCGAGAGCATCCCTGTCTCTGTGCCTGACCCGGGAATGCCGGAGGGACTGCCCCATCCACCATTGCCGACGCAAGAAGAGGCTTTCAGCTTCGACGGCGCGGCCAAGCATGAAGAACATGAGCATGAGCATCCGTCAGCAGGAGAGCCGCACAGCAACGGTGGCGGTGGCGATGGTGGCGGTGGGTTGCCACGATACTTGCTGCCTGAAGTCCCTCATCTGCCTCTGCCAATGCCGGTGCCCGCCCTAAGTGTCAGCGACCTGGGGGGCATTGTGCCGCCTCGCTACGGGCCGGCCAGGTGCACCCTGCCACCCATCCTGGAGATGCCGGTTCGCCGCTCCCCGGCCGACAAGAGCGGAGCGGCGGTAGCACGACAACCGCCATCCAATCGCAATCACGACAATCCTGCGAAAGTCAACGGCAGAAAGGCGCCTGTCAGGCCCAAGACGGCAGGAGGGGCGAGGAGGGAGGGGAAGGGGGGTGGTGACGGGCTTGCTGTCAAGGAAAAGGAGAAGGGCAAAAAGCTCCCCTTGAACAAGAGCAGCTCGATGCCTCACCTTGAGAACGACCAGCCATCCCATGCGTGCCGCCCCGCAACAGCTGCCGGCCGCATCGAGGACCGCCATCAGGACCGCCGGCACTCCTCTGCCCTAGCAGCAGCAGCGGCATCACCAGGGCGTGCACACACACATGCAGCACACGAAGAGGGCTCCTCTGCCCCCGCCGCCCCTCCACTGACCCGCTCTCGCTCCGCCTTCGGCCGCACACGGCCATCTCAGCCCCAGCTGACCCAGCAGCCGTCAGACAAGAGCTTCGACCTCGCTCTCACTTCTGCGTCAGCGCGTCAGCAGAAGCCACAGAGGGCGGCAGAGGGTGGGGAGAATGCCCTGTCTGGTCGGCATTGGGAGCTGTCGCTGCGTGAGGAGGCCCGGCCTGGGAGTGCGAATGCGGCTGCGAGGCGGGCTGTGGGGCAGGCGGCTGTGGCGATGCTGCAGCACGCACCGCTGCCGTCGGCTGGGCAGCCGAGTGTGCAGGTGGGTGGGAGGGAAAGAGAGACAGGGAGAAAGCCAAACAACTACCACCACCACACACGTCTCGGTCTCATTCGCTTGTGTCTATGTGTGTGTGCATGTGACCGAATTAGGCGAGTGGGTTGCCGACTCATTTGTCGCGTGCGTCAACGGTGTACAACTTCGTGCCGCCCCCTCTGCCAGAGGTGCACCCGCAGGACATCTTCGAGCGCACCCGGCTGGCCGTCCGGGCCGTCCAGGACAAAACCGACGAGAAGAAAGCCCTGCAGAAAGAACTCACCAAGGTAAGAACGCCTTGTGCCCTCTGTGTCTCCATGAGGATCTCTCTCTCCCTGTGTGTGTGAGTATAGTTGCGTGAGCAGAAACTGCAGATGCAGTCGCGCACGGTCAAGTGTCAGCGAGACATAGAGCGGTTCAAGAGGGAGCGGCTCGAGTGGACGAAGCGCAGCGCTGCGGTGCGGAAGCTGCGGCCGCCGTTGGAGCGGGCCGTGGCCTCGTACACCAGCGAAATCCACAACCTGTCACTCGCTATCAAGGAGACGCAGGAAGGTGCGTATTCGTGT